AAATGGCAACGCCACCACCTTTTTAGGCCGGTCAGTACGATACACACTGTAACCATTTATGTAAATGTCAGAGGCCAAAAGGATTTATCTAGCCATGTTTCTGATAACACAATGACATCAGCATCAGTCGAACTCGCCCAAATACGGACAAAATCTAATTTAGGTAACAGACTACGCACATTTAAATGAATGAAACCTAGGCCAGATCTAGATATAAATCCAGCAGGCAGGAGCTATTTGACTAATACTGCAAGGTGGACCTGGATGTGGCTGTACATTTCCTGATAGTAACAACAACAAAAATACCAAGCACCTTTTCCTCTTAATCAACACACATACATTGTCAGCTGTTCTAGAGTCACCAGAAAACTTCGCGAAAGTGAGATTAGAGTTTAAAAAAACAATTCTGAAGGGACCATCGTGGCAGGCATGTGAGAAGACCAACATTTTCCGAAATGAATGTCTGTGACAAGGCAACCAGTAATTGTCTGTGTAACACATCCGAACCTTTACAGGGGATGTCCACTGCGGGCGGTAGAACAGACCTGAATCCAGTCGACTTCTCAGGATAACGAGAGAACTTCTTTGTCCAAAATAGCTAACAGGCATAGCAGAATCACGATATGGGCCATTTTCCCAGACCAGCACAGCATCCGGATAGGCGCGCAAGCAGGCCCGAAACGTGGAGGCGCTCCGGTCTCTTCGCGATATCCCCGGTGCAGAACCTCCTCAGTACAGCAGGATAGGCGAAGCAGGCCCAGCTCGAGGCGTAGAGGCGCTCTCTCTCCGCGATATCCCCGTGGTAAAACGTCCTCGGCACCGTAGAGCACGACAGGTGGAGCAGGGGATACAGGCCTCCGCTACAGCAGGTGTAAAGCAGGCCGCAGCCCGAACGCGAAGCCGCTCCGTCTCTCCGCGACTTCCCGGGGAAAAAACCTCCCCACAGCACAGCACAGGTGCACAGGTAAACCTCTCTCTACGCCGACGGAGGTTGGCTTTCTGATGAGCGAAGGAGCACCTGAAGGTCAGGATCCTCTCTATGGAGCACCTGAAGGTCAGGATCCTCTCTATGGAGCACCTGAAGGTCAGGATCCTCTCTATGGAGCACCTGAAGGTCAGGATCCTCTCTAGGGTGCACCTGTGAAGGTCAGGATGCTCTCTATGGTGCACCTGTAGAAGGTAGGATGCTCTCTGGTGCACCTGTAGAAGGTCAGGATCTCTCTAGGGTGCACCTGTAGAAGGTCAGGATGCTCTCTAGGGTGCACCTGTAGAAGGTCAGGATGCTCTCTATATGGTGCACCTGTAGAAGGTCAGGATCCTCTCTAGGGTGCACCTGTAGAAGGTCAGGATGCTCTCTATATGGTGCACCTGTAGAAGGTCAGGATGCTCTCTATGCACCTGTAGAAGGTCAGGATGCTCTCTATATGGTGCACCTGTAGAAGGTCAGGATGCTCTCTAGGGTGCACCTGTAGAAGGTCAGGATCTCTAGGGTGCACCTGTAGAAGGTCAGGATCCTCTCTATGGTGCACCTGTAGAAGGTCAGGATCTCTCTATGGTGCACCTGTAGAAGGTCAGGATCCTCTCTATGGTGCACCTGTAGAAGGTCAGGATCCTCTCTATGGAGCACCTGAAGGTCAGGATGCTCTCTAGGTGCACCTGTAGAAGGTCAGGATCCTCTCTATGGTGCACCTGTAGAAGGTCAGGATGCTCTCTATGGAGCACCTGTAGAAGGTCAGGATGCTCTCTATGGAGCACCTGTAAGAAGGTCAGGATCCTCTCTATGGAGCACCTGTAGAAGGTCAGGATGCTCTCTATGGTGCACCTGTAGAAGGTCAGGATGCTCTCTATGGAGCACCTGTAGAAGGTCAGGATGCTCTCTATGGAGCACCTGTAGAAGGTCAGGATCCTCTCTATGGAGCACCTGTAGAAGGTCAGGATGCTCTCTATGGAGCACCTGTAGAAGGTCAGGATGCTCTCTATGGAGCACCTGTAGAAGGTCAGGATCCTCTCTATGGTGCACCTGAAGGTCAGGATCCTCTCTATGGAGCACCTGTAGAAGGTCAGGATGCTCTCTATGGAGCACCTGTAGAAGGTCAGGATCCTCTCTATGGTGCACCTGAAGGTCAGGATCCTCTCTATGGTGCACCTGAAGAAGGTCAGGATCCTCTCTATGGAGCACCTGTAGAAGGTCAGGATGCTCTCTATGGAGCACCTGTAGAAGGTCAGGATCCTCTCTATGGCACCTGAAGGTCAGGATGCTCTCTATGGAGCACCTGTAGAAGGTCAGGATGCTCTCTATGGAGCACCTGTAGAAGGTCAGGATCCTCTCTATGGTGCACCTGTAGAAGGTCAGGATGCTCTCTATGGAGCACCTGTAGAAGGTCAGGATGCTCTCTATGGAGCACCTGTAGAAGGTCAGGATCCTCTCTATGGAGCACCTGTAGAAGGTCAGGATCCTCTCTATGGTGCACCTGTAAGGTCAGGGTCCTCTCTATGGAGCACCTGTAAAGGTCAGGATGCTCTCTATGGAGCACCTGTAGAAGGTCAGGATCCTCTCTATGGGCACCTGTAGAAGGTCAGGATCCTCTCTATGGAGCACCTGTAGAAGGTCAGGATCCTCTCTATGGTGCACCTGTAGAAGGTCAGGGTCCTCTCTATGGTGCACCTGTAGAAGGTCAGGATCCTCTCTATGGTGCACCTATAGAAGGTCAGGATGCTCTCTATGGTGCACCTGTAGAAGGTCAGGGTCCTCTCTATGGAGCACCTGTAGAAGGTCAGGATCCTCTCTATGGTGCACCTGTAGAAGGTCAGGATGCTCTCTATGGTGCACCTGTAGAAGGTCAGGGTCCTCTCTATGGAGCACCTGTAGAAGGTCAGGGTCCTCTCTATGGTGCACCTGAAGGTCAGGATCCTCTCTATGGAGCACCTGTAGAAGGTCAGGATCCTCTCTATGGAGCACCTGTAGAAGGTCAGGATCCTCTCTATGGTGCACCTGTAGAAGGTCAGGATCCTCTCTATGGTGCACCTGTAGAAGGTCAGGATGCTCTCTATGGAGCACCTGTAGAAGGTCAGGGTCCTCTCTATGGAGCACCTGAAGGTCAGGATCCTCTCTATGGAGCACCTGTAGAAGGTCAGGATCCTCTCTATGGTGCACCTGTAGAAGGTCAGGGTCCTCTCTATGGTGCACCTGTAGAAGGTCAGGATCCTCTCTATGGAGCACCTGTAGAAGGTCAGGATGCTCTCTATGGAGCACCTGTAGAAGGTCAGGATCCTCTCTATGGTGCACCTGTAGAAGGTCAGGATGCTCTATGGAGCACCTGTAAAGGTCAGGGTCCTCTCTATGGAGCACCTGTAGAAGGTCAGGGTCCTCTCTATGGTGCACCTGAAGGTCAGGATCCTCTCTATGGAGCACCTGTAGAAGGTCAGGGTCCTCTCTATGGTGCACCTGAAGGTCAGGATGCTCTCTATGGAGCACCTGTAGAAGGTCAGGATCCTCTCTATGGAGCACCTGAAGAAGGTCAGGATCCTCTCTATGGAGCACCTGTAGAAGGTCAGGATGCTCTCTATGGAGCACCTGTAGAAGGTCAGGATCCTCTCTATGGTGCACATGTAGAAGGTCAGGATCTCTCTATGGAGCACCTGTAGAAGGTCAGGGTCCTCTCTATGGAGCACCTGTAGAAGGTCAGGATCCTCTCTATGGAGCACCTGTAGAAGGTCAGGATCCTCTCTATGGAGCACCTGTAGAAGGTCAGGATCCTCTCTATGGAGCACCTGTAGAAGGTCAGGATCCTCTCTATGGAGCACCTGTAGAAGGTCAGGGTCCTCTCTATGGAGCACCTGTAGAAGGTCAGGGTCCTCTCTATGGAGCACATGTAGAAGGTCAGGATCCTCTCTATGGAGGCACCACTGTAGAAGGTCAGGATCCTCTCTATGGAGCACCTGTAGAGAGGTCAGGGTCCTACTCTATGGAGCCACCTGTAGAAGGTCAGGGTCCTCTCTATCCTCCTCTCTTTACCTGTGCAGGTGAGCGGCTGCTGTTTGACGAGATATGAGTCAACATTCTGAATCTCTGTGAGTCATCAGCATCGATAAGACTCGACACGAAACCACTTTATGACTTCTGGGGAGATTTCTTATCAGAGCCTCCAGAGGACTCGACACACGGACAGTTTATTCTGCTTGCTTTAATCCTCATTGTTCATGTTGTCACCAGATCAGCTGATCCTGGATCTGTGAAAACACCTTCATATTAAAAAGACACAGCTTATAACCAGCAGAGAAATAAAAGGTACAACTCAATTAACTTTAAGCTTTTTAAATTATATCTATTTTTGGTTTTAATACAATATTTAAAAACATTTTCAATTTCTTCTTGGAATTTGATCTTAATTATTTTTTATTATGATTTGACTTTATTACGATTTTAAATGCAGGGCTTTTGCTCAGTGTGTTTGTCTGTAGCGCCCCCTGCAGGATTCTTCTGTCACTCAATCACATGAATACAGTTATTGATAACGACGTTTGAAACGAAAATATTCAACATAAACACAACTTATTATAGTAGTATGTTTCTTTTGTAAAGTAATAAAGTGTCTGTCCAGTCTACAGTGATTTTATGATATAACATAATTAATACAAAATAATTAATTTAAACAACTTTTTATTTTAAATAATGGCAAATTAGATCACCAAATAATGTATTAAATTAATGTATTGTTATATGATATTTTATATTAGTTCTGAATGCATCCATCAAATATTAATATTATTGTTAGACTGAATTCTTTTCTTTTTTTTAAAGAATCTCACAGAAATATATTGATTTTTTCCTGATTTTTTATTTTCTCAAAGATAAATATTTATTTTTCTATGAGCTTCTTTTTTTCTGATTTTTGTTGTTGTGGAAAATCTAAGAATTATGACTTTTTTCTCAGATTTCAGAGATGAAAGCTTCATATATACAGTCTATGGATGAAAGTCAGAACTCAATAGTGGTTATACTTGTGTGTTTGGCCAGCAGGGCGGCGCTCCACACACTGAGCTCTGCTCTCTGAAACCACAGAAGAAGAAGAAGGAAGAAGGCGCTGAAAATGGCTGCTCCGAAAAACATCCCGAAAGACGCGCAGGTTTAAAGATTAAAACCTCTCTTTTCACACTTTACCAGTCAGTAAGCTGCAGGTTGACCTCACGCGGCTCGTGCTTTTGTTTAAATCCTCCAGTTAACGCCAAGAAAAGACATCTGATGAACATGCTAACGGGAGCTAGTTAGCTCGTTGGCTAACAGTAGCTCTATGTTCCCCGTTAAATTCCATTCAAGCATTAGCCACCAGCTAGCAGACTGAGCCTAGCATGTAGCCGGTGTTCGGATGTAAACACGACTTGTTTCTCACAGTTTATGTATCTGTGCAGGTGCTTGTTATTAACATTAATGGTTATTCAAGCCGTCTTTATCGGCAGCTTTATGGATGTGTATTAGCAGGTAAGCTGAGTTTAAATTAAACCGGGTCAGAAAGGATTCACCTGTTATTCACTTATTGTACAAATATACTGCTTTAAGTGTGAACCTTTATACTTAATACTAACATTTAATTGGTTTAACTTCTTTTTAAATATTTGTTTTATAAGTATCTTTATTATATTGTATTTGATCTTTTATTGGACATTCAAAATGTTTTAATTATTACGTTTAGTTCATATTTCGCTTCTTTTATCACTGTTCCAGATACACAGGGGTCAGAGGTGATTCTCAGATCTTGTGCTTGAGTAAAAACTATAATATATAATACTAACACAATTCAAAGCTGCAAGATATAGTAGAGTATTTCCATTTGATATTTCTAATTTAATGTAGAAACATGGAAGACTAAAATAAATCCCACAAAAGCATTTTCCATTTATATAATAATCATCTATCAGGGTTAGTCTTTGTAGATACAACGTGAATTAGCTTTTGCCTTTTCTAACTCGGATTGTACCTTAAAGGGGACCTATCATGCAAAATGCACTTTCTGATGTCTGTTATACATCAACATGTGTCCCCGGTGTGTCCCCGGTGTGTCCCCGGTGTGTCTGGGAACTCATGCAGCGTCAGCAAATAAAACCCTCTCTCTTTTCCTCCGTACCCAATCTCTAAAAACGGGGAACAACGGAGATGATCCAGATTTGCGTCCGATATGACGTAATATCTGAAATGTGGACCCACGGCCCAATCAGAAACGTTGCTATCAGAAACAATGCCCGACTGTTTTGGACGTAATATGGTCGGTGTTTACATTAGCATCGCTAACACTCAGAGCTAACCTGTACTGGAGAGCATGTGTGTGAAGAAGCAGGAAGTAAAAAGGAACTCACCTTGTGGTATAACCGGCAAGAGAGAAAGCCTTTGAGCTCCAAACTGTTTCAGAGAGAATCCTTGATAATCCATGATATGGCGTTTCATCACGGCAGTATTTAGTTTAGACAGTAGCTGCCGGGTCCCGCATGAGCTCAGACCCTCCTCTTTAAAGCTTTATACCCAAATCAGCACTTTAGAAACAGGAAGTGAAATAGAGGGATTTGAGGCGTGGCTAAAATCTGTTTGGTGTTTGGAGCAAAACACTTCATAGACATGTTTTTAATGTATTTGTGTATATCTGAGACCTCTGCTGTTGCCTAGAAACAGCCTGATAGGTGACCTTTAAATTATGTAAACATTTGATTAATTAATTAGTGAATAAAATGCATCATAGAAATCCAAATGTATTGATAATATTTATATTGCATTTTAAATTTCAAAACGATGCGTTAAAAATGGAGTAATGTCAGAGATGATTGAATTATAATAACTGTGTTTACCTATTGGATGCACATGTTGGCCGGTACTGTGGGATTCTATTTACATGTTTCTGTAGAGGATACAGAGGGAACTATTATATATACATTTAATATGGTCCTTTCTTTTGCTGACGGTCTGACTGTGGTTGTGTTTCAGGTGATGATCCAGATCCTGAAGGACATGGGGATCACCGAGTACGAGCCCAGAGTCATAAACCAGATGTTAGAGTTCACCTACAGTGAGTTACCACGAAGAGAGATTCTATCAGTATGTAGTGTCTCTACTTTAAAGAGTCCTCTCCTGCTGATGTTCAGGTGTATATCAGTATGTAGTGGCTCTACTTTAAAGAGTCCTCTCCTGCTGATGTTCAGGTGTAATCAGTGTGTAGAGTCTCTACTTTAAAGAGTCCTCTCCTGCTGATGTTCAGGTGTATATCAGTATGTAGTGTCTCTACTTTAAAGAGTCCTCTCCTGCTGATGTTCAGGTGTATATCAGTATGTAGTGTCTCTACTTTAAAGAGTCCTCTCCTGCTGATGTTCAGGTGTATATCAGTATGTAGTGTCTCTACTTTAAAGAGTCCTCTCCTGCTGATGTTCAGGTGTATATCAGTATGTAGTGTCTCTACTTTAAAGAGTCCTCTCCGGCTGATGTTCAGGTGTATATCAGTATGTAGTGTCTCTACTTTAAAGAGTCCTCTCCTGCTGATGTTCAGGGTGTATATCAGTATGTAGTGTCTCTACTTTAAAGAGTCCTCTCCTGCTGATGTTCAGGTGTAATCAGTATGTAGTGTCTCTACTTTAAAGAGTCCTCTCCTGCTGATGTTCAGGTGTATATCAGTATGTAGTGTCTCTACTTTAAAGAGTCCTCTCCTGCTGATGTTCAGGTGTATATCAGTATGTAGTGTCTCTACTTTAAAGAGTCCTCTCCTGCTGATATTCAGGTGTATATCAGTATGTAGTGTCTCTACTTTAAAGAGTCCTCTCCTGCTGATGTTCAGGTGTATATCAGTATGTAGTGTCTCTACTTTAAAGAGTCCTCTCCTGCTGATGTTCAGGTGTATATCAGTATGTAGAGTCTCTACTTTAAAGAGTTCTCTCCTGCTGAATGTTCAAGTGTATATCAGTATGTAGTGTCTCTACTTTAAAGAGTCCTCTCCTGCTGATGTTCAGGGTGTATATCAGTATGTAGTCTCCTCTACTTTAAAGAGTCCTCTCCTGCTGATGTTCAGGTGTATATCAGTATGTAGTGTCTCTACTTTAAAGAGTCCTCTCCTGCTGATGTTCAGGTGTATATCAGTATGTAGTGTCTCTACTTTAAAGAGTCCTCTCCTGCTGATGTTCAGGTGTATATCAGTATGTAGTGTCTCTACTTTAAAGAGTCCTCTCCTGCTGATGTTCAGGTGTATATCAGTATGTAGTGTCTCTACTTTAAAGAGTCCTCTCCTGTTGATGTTCAGGTGTGTATCAGTATGTAGTGTCTCTACTTTAAAGAGTCATCTCCTGCTGATGTTCAGGTGTATATCAGTATGTAGTGTCTCTACTTTAAAGAGTCCTCTCCTGCTGATGTTCAGGTGTATATCAGTATGTAGTGTCTCTACTTTAAAGAGTCCTCTCCTGCTGATGTTCAGGTGTATATAAGTATGTAGAGTCTCTACTTTAAAGAGTCCTCTCCTGCTGATGTTTCAGGTGTATATCAGTATGTAGTGTCTCTACTTTAAAGAGTCCTCTCCTGCTGATGTTCAGGTGTATATCAGTATGTAGTGTCTCTACTTTAAAGAGTCCTCTTCTGCTGATGTTCAGGTGTATATCAGTATGTAGTGTCTCTACTTTAAAGAGTCCTCTCCTGCTGATGTTCAGGGTGTATATCAGTATGTAGTGTCTCTACTTTAAAGAGTCCTCTCCTGCTGATGTTCAGGTGTATATCAGTATGTAGTGTCTCTACTTTAAAGAGTTCTCTCCTGCTGATGTTCAGGTGTATATCAGTGTGTAGTGTCTCTACTTTAAAGAGTCCTCTCCTGCTGATGTTCAGGTGTATATCAGTATGTAGTGTCTCTACTTTAAAGAGTCCTCTCCTGCTGATGTTCAGGTGTATATCAGTATGTAGTGTCTCTACTTTAAAGAGTCCTCTCCTGCTGATGTTCAGGTGTATATCAGTATGTAGTGTCTCTACTTTAAAGAGTCCTCTCCTGCTGATGTTCAGGTGTATATCAGTATGTAGTGTCTCTACTTTAAAGAGTCCTCTCCTGCTGATGTTCAGGTGTATATCAGTATGTAGTGTCTCTACTTTAAAGAGTCCTCTCCTGCTGATGTTCAGGTGTATATCAGTATGTAGTGTCTCTACTTTAAAGAGTCCTCTCCTGCCTTATGTTCAGGTGTATATTAGTATGTAGTGTCTCTACTTTAAAGAGTCCTCTCCTGCTGATGTTCAGGTGTATATCAGTATGTAGTGTCTCTACTTTAAAGAGTCCTCCCCTGCTGATGTTCAGGTGTATATCAGTATGTAGTGTCTCTACTTTAAAGAGTCCTCTCCTGCTGATGTTCAGGTGTATATCAGTATGTAGTGTCTCTACTTTAAAGAGTCCTCCCCTGCTGATGTTCAGGTGTATATCAGTATGTAGTGTATCTACTTTAAAGAGTCCTCTCCTGCTGATGTTCAGGTGTATATCAGTATGTAGTGTCCCTCTACTTTAAGAGTCCTCTCCGGCTTGATGTTCAGGTGTATATCAGTATGTAGTGTCTCTACTTAAAGAGTCCTCTCCTGCTGATGTTCAGGTGTATATCAGTATGTAGTGTCTCTTACTTTAAGAGTCCTCTCCTGCTGATGTTCAGGTGTATATCAGTATGTACGACTGTCTCTACTTTAAAGAGTCCTCTCCTGCTGAGTTCAGGTGTATATCAGTATGTAGTGTCTCTACTTTAAAGAGTCCTCTCCTGCTGATGTTCAGGTGTATATCAGTATGTAGGTCTCTACTTTAAAGAGTCCTCTCCTGCTGATGTTCAGGTGTATATCAGTATGTAGTGTCTCTACTTTAAAGAGTCCTCTCCTGCTGATGTTCCAGGTGTATATCATATGTAGTGTATCTACTTTAAAGAGTCCTCTCATGCTGATGTTCAGGTGTATATCAGTATGTAGTGTCTCTACTTTAAAGAGTCCTCTCCTGCTGATGTTCAGGTGTATATCAGTATGTAGTGTCTCTACTTTAAAGAGTCCTCTCCTGCTGATGTTCAGGTGTATATCAGTATGTAGTGTCTCTACTTTAAAGAGTCCTCTCTCCTGCTGATGTTCAGGTGTATATCAGTATGTAGTGTATCTACTTTAAAGAGTCCTCTCCTGCTGATGTTCAGGTGTATATCAGTATGTAGTGTCTCTAGTTTAAAGAGTCCTCTCCTGCTGATATTTTAGGTGTATATCAGTATGTAGTGTCTCTACTTTTAAAGAGTCCTCTCCTGCTGATGTCCAGGTGTATATCAGTATGTAGTGTCTCTACTTTAAAGAGTCCTCTCCTGCTGATGTTCAGGTGTATATCAGTATGTAGTGTCTCTACTTTAAAGAGTCCTCTCCTGCTGATGTTCAGGTGTATATCAGTATGTAGTGTCTCTACTTTAAAGAGTCCTCTCCTGCTGATGTCCAGGTTGTATATCAGTATGTAGTGTCTCTGCTTTAAAGAGTCCTCTCCTGCTGATGTTCAGGTGTATATCAGTATGTAGTGTCTCTACTTTAAAGAGTCCTCTCCTGCTGATGGTTCAGGTGTATATCAGTATGTAGTGTCTCTACTTTAAAGAGTCCTCTCCTGCTGATGTTCAGGTGTATATCAGTATGGTAGTGTCTCTACTTTAAAGAGTCCTCTCCTGCTGATGTTTTTCTCAGGATACGTGACGACTATTATCGAAGACGCTAAAATCTACGCGACTCACGCCAAAAGTCGACGGTTGACGCTGACGACATCAAGCTGGCGATCCAGTGCCGCATGGACCAGTCCTTCACCTCGCCGCCGCCGAGAGACGTAAATACTAAATATATTTACGTTGAGTTGTTAAAATCCCCTCTTGTATTGTGTCATCGTTGCACCCCTTTAAGTCAGGGGGGTTCGAACCACATTTCATGGCGGGCCACATCAGCGTTCAGGTCGCACTCAAGGGGCCGGTTTGTAACTTTAAGACTATATAAAATACATATATAATATATATAAAATAATGTATGATATCACATGATTGCCTCTGCTTTGGAGTATTAACTGATAGGGTGATAACTTCATAATTAACGTCTGAAAGCAGAAGTCTAGGGCAAATCATTGAAAGTCTCTTCAGTGTCACACAATGAGATGCATTGTGGGAGATGCAGTAAGGCGCATGTAACCGTATATAAACATATTATATTATTTTTCAGACCTCCCCAGCTTTAAAGGTTGTATATGTCGTGTCAAATGATCATATACTCATTTCAAACATATAGTCTTACACTCTGATTGCCTTTTACTTTGTTAAAGTATATTTTTAGTCTTGTATGTGTTGAACAGAGACAGATGTTTAGGCTTTACATTTCAGGAGGCAAAGGAAGTCAAATGTGGATTTTAAAAAAGGACGAGGGGGTTTCATGGTGGGATGTTTAGATGGATATCCTCGTGGATTCATCTTCCTATTATACACACATGCATTTCCAAACATTTGGACTACCTATGTTGCAAATGTATTATCTTTTCAATTTACACACGGCATCTATTGCACGTCTGTCCGTCCTGGGAGAGGGATCCCTCCTCTGTTGCTCTCCCTGAGGTTTCTCCCATTTTTCCCTTTAAACTGTGGGTTTTCTCCGGAAGTCTTTCCTTGTACGATGTGAGGGTCTAAGGACAGAGGGTCTAAGGACAGAGGGTCTAAGGACAGAGGGTCTAAGGACAGAGGGTCTAAGGACAGAGGGTGTCGTATTGTCATACTGATATTTTGTACAAACTGTAAAGTCCACTGAGACAAATGTAACATTTGTGATATTGGGCTATAAATAAACATTGATTGATTGATTTAGATGATGCCCAAGAGACTTTAAGGGTGGGACCAGTTGGATTTTCTCTCGACTATATAGTGTGACTGTGTTCTGGGTGCAAAGCCATTTGATCCTCTGAGGGTGAAGCTGCTCTGTTCGTGCATTCAGATCCATTTCACTTGGATATATTGACTTTCTTTATTACTTTTATTAAATATACCAAAAGACACACTTAGTCCCTGAATCATTTATCAGTTTCTCTTCAGAGTTTCCTCCACAGTATATATGTGTTGTGTGTGTTTCATGTTGTAGTTCCTGCTGGAGGTGGCGCGGCAGAAGAACCTGACCCCCCTCCCGCTGATCAAGCCGTACACCGGACCCCGCCTCCCCCCCGACAGATACTGCCTCACCGCGCCCAACTACAGACTGAAGACCGTGCAGAAGAAGGTATATATTTAGAAAGAGCTTCATTTGGTTTTATTAAACCCTGAGCTTTGGGTCTTTATACACAATATTTTTATATTTTCTTTCATATTTTTTTGGACATTTTAACTTAAACTTGTTTTGGCTATATGTCTTTTATTGCTTTTTTAAATTTAATTAATTGTTATTCTTTTTTTGGGGTCACATTATATTAAAAGTACCGTTTTGCAAATCATATCTCTTTAGAGACCCAAAAATGGGAAATTTAAATACGGAACAACATTAGTAAAATCAAATAAAAACGAAAAAAGTACATAGGGGTGGTTTGAAATGACAAATATCTACACATACTTAAACATGCACACGTGTATATATATTAGGGATGGGAACGATTCATCAAATATTCAGGTATTCGAATATGAGTTATGAATATATTTTTTTGTGTGAAGGATGCCTAAGTTGATTACATATGATCAAATGGAATACTTCAATGTATACGACAGCGCCATAGCTGAGTGTGTTACGTCTAAAGGTGTTTTGCTCTGCTCACGGTCCCTCTCAGCGGGCTGAGCTGCAGGTGCTGGTCTCTCTCTCGCATCCGGTTAGACTTCACCGGCGTTTATGTCCAAATCCATCAGATCTAGTTCTAGCCAATGATATGGCTGCTGCCCCTCCCTACACGCAGGTCACGCAGACTCAAGCCTCATCTTATGCCCCGATTACAGCTGAGAGGGTCTCCTCTACAGCTGGCCTGATTGTGAATCGCCTCCGCACCCGCCTCTCCCCTGAGCATGTAGACATAGACCCTGCATAGGCCCTGTCACAGGTTGTTGATCTCTGTTGTCACGGGTTACGTTACCCTAACCCGTTATGTTGTTCGTGTTTGATCCCTCTTTCATTTCAAAACCAAGTAATGTTTTAAGCATGAAAGCTGCAGCCTGTAGCTGTCAGCTGTTCAAACTGTGATCACCAGTTCAATACATTTGACAAATTCCACTTGGTTTCTAAACTTACTTCAACAAGTATTTATTTATTTTTTATTTGTTCAACATTTTTCCCACATTTTTTTTTTTTTTTAAAGGATATTTACATTTCGGTTAACCGTTTTTTTTGGGGGTCGAATATTCGAATATACATTTGCCTTCAAATTCCCATCCCTAATATATACACACATATAGACAGCAGGCAAGGCAAGTTTATTTATTCAGCACTTTTCAAAACAAGGCAATTCAAAGTGCTTTTCAAACAGGAACGACATGTCCATGAATATAATATTAAATAAAGCCTCTGAGTGTTTCTGTCCCTAACACCTCTGTTTCCTGTCAGCTGACCTCCTCCTCGGGGAGGATCACAGTTCCTCGCCTCAGCATCGGAGCCGTCTCCAGCCGGCCGGGCACCCCCACCCTCGGTGAGTCGAACAATACAGCTAAAGTCCAGAAAGCTGTCATAGTATGCTCCAAAAGATAACTGAATGTCGCCCTCTTCCTCTCGGCGTGCGCCCTCACACCAAAATGCTGATTTCCCCGTAAATGTTAAAGAAATCAGAAAACAATATCTCTGTTCCTCAGAAACTGTGATTCCTCCAGAGATCTGAGAGTCAAACAGAGCGGCAGACAGCTTTGTTTTTACGGAGCTCCGACGTCACGTTGTTGTTTACGTCAGGAGACATCTTGTTTACGTGAGGAGACACCTTGTTTACGTGAGGAGACATCTTGTTTACGTGAGGAGACATCTTGTTTACGTGAGGAGACACCTTGTTTACGTGAGGAGACACCTTGTTTATGAGGAGACATCTTGTTTACGTGAGGAGACTCCTTGTTTACGTGAGGAGACACCCTTGTTTACGTGAGGAGACACCTTGTTTACGTGAGGAGACACCTTGTGTTACGTGAGGAGACAACCTTGTTTACGTGAGGAGACACCTTGTTACGTGAGGGAGAAAACCTTGTTTACGTGAGGAGACACCTTGTTTACGTGAGGAGACACCTGGTTACAGTGAGGAGACACCTTGTTTACGTGAGGAGACACCTTGTTTACGTGAGGAGACACCTTGTTACGTGAGGAGACAAACCTTGTTTACGTGAGGAGACACCTGGTTTACGTGAGGAGAACACTTGTTTACGTGAGGAGACACCTTGTTTACGTGAGGAGACACCTTGTTTTACGTGAGGGAGACACCTTGTTTACGTGAGGAGACACCTTGTTTACGTGAGGAGACACCTTGTTTACGTGAGGAGACACCATGGTTTAAGTGGGGAGACACCTGTTTACGTGGGAGACACCTTGTTTACGTCAGGAGACACCTCGTTTACGTGCAGGAGACACCTCGTTACGTGAGGAGACCCCTCGTTTACGTCAGGAGACACCTCGTTTACGTGAGGAGACACCTCGTTTACGTGAGGAGACACCTCGTTTAACGTCAGGAGACACCTCGTTTACGTGAGGAGACACCTCGTTTTACGTGAGAGACCACCTCGTTTACGTGGGGAGACACCTCAGTTTACGTGAGGAGACACCTCGTTTACGTGAGGAGACACCTCGTTTACGTGAGGAGACACCTCTTTACGTCAGGAGACACCTCGTTTACGTGGGGAGACACCTCGTTTTACGTGGGAGACACCTCGTTTACGTGGGGAGACACCTCGTTTACGTGGGGAGACACCTTGTTTACGTGGGGAGACACCTTGTTTACGTGAGGAGACACTCGTTTACGTGAGGAGACACCTCGTTTACGTGTAGGAGACACCTCGTTTACGTGAGGAGACACCTCGTTACGTGAGGAGACACCTCGTTTACGTGAGGAGACACCTCGTTACGTGAGGAGACACCTCGTTTACGTGAGAGACACCTCGTTTACGTGAGGAGACACCTCGTTTACGTGAGGAGACACCTGGTGGGGTTTTGAGGCGGGACTGGAACAGGATGAGGGACTCAGACTCACGGAGGTCTTGGGGGAGGGAGTTCCGGAGCTTCGGGGCTGCCACAGAGAAGGAGGTCAGTGAGGTGGGGGGGGGGGCAGATGGTGGAGGGCTTTGATCATTTTTTTTTTGGGCATTTATCACATGGTTTTAGTTGATTACTCGATTCTGATTGGTCAATGTGGAACTTTCAGAGTTAATACTTGATAACACACCGTCTGCTTCCCGTCGGGCTCCGTGATCACACATATTTATCAATACATCAGTAATGACCGCCTCGCTGCACACGACCCCTCACACACACATGTATATAATAATGCATGACACCTATATAGCGTTTTTCTAGGAACTCAAAGACGCTTCGACAGAGCAAACACAAAAACCCGAGAAAATACGTAAAGAAAAAACAGAACTAGGGGAGGGTCAGCGGTGGAACAGGTGGGTTTGAGTGAGGCTCTGATGGGGTGGGGGAGTGTAAACTGAAGGTGTTTTCTTTGTGGTGTTTCGTCCCCTCAGGAGCCCCCTCGGTGCAGAAGGTGATGACCCCCGTCACTCTGTCGGGGCAGAGGTTCACCGTGCAGATCCCCCCCTCCCAGACCACCATCAAGACCAGTAGGAACCACTTTAACACTCATCTGACATCACAACATGTTTCTGCCTCCAGGTTCAGAGAAAGCTTTGATTTTGTGTTCTCTACAAAGACATTTCTATTCAAAGAATTCAAACAACTTTTATAAACTCAGACAGTAGATATAGCACCTGAACATAGTCACTTCTAAAAGAATGTATGAAATAGAGTCAAAGTAAAGTATGTTTAAACACACATATATCTAACATACACACCTGTTGTGAGTGAATATATATATTAAACCCTTTCCTCTGGTGGTCTTGCAACCTACAAATTATGTATCTATATATCATATTCCAATTACTTGTATATAGACTCTTCTTGCACTATTTATATTTTGTTTGTATTTACTTGCACTGTTTTATACAAATCGACACTATGTACAAATGACAATAAAAGCCTTGAATCTTGAATATATGTATATATGAACCCCTCTCCCTCCGCTCCTCCTGCAGCCACGCCCTCCTCTCCGGGAGTCTCTAACGTTCTCATCAATCCATCGCTCATCGGCTCCAAAAGCCTCCTGATCAGCAGCAGCTTGGCGGGCGGGGGGGTGGACTCGCTGAAGAGGAAACACGAAGACGACGACGACTACGACGCCCTATGACCTCTGAACACAAACACCCCCTTTTGTATTAAACCTGCTTTTTAAATAACCTCCAGGAAACTCTTCAGGAACAACTCTGTTTATTTTCTACTGAAGGAACCGCCTCATTTATTAAACTGTTAGAATAAAGACTGCCTCGGTGTGCATTTGTTTCATCACACGTCTATCTATTTATGTTAAATAACTATATTTTAAGTCTGGGAAAAGAAGTCATAGAATAAATAATATTTCAAAAAATAAACTTATAAAGAAATTATAGTTAAGTATTTAAAAATATATTTTGAGGAGTTGAAAAAAATGTATTGTCATTATAGTGGGACACACATAACACATCATCTAGAGAGTTCATCCATACGTCGACCACCAGGAGGGTCTGGAAACAAAATTAGAATTAAATGAGGAAATCAGCTATCTGTGAAGAAATGAAGCTCAGCGCAAGTTCAACCAGGAAGACCGTCTTTACTCATTAATTTACTATGTCCGTGTTACTACTCTCTCTCCTCTCAATAAGTGATCGGGGGCGTCACTCCCAGCTTAACCAATAACTTCGCTCTATTCTCACGAGCCTATCATAGCGCTCTGCTAACCCTTTTAAATCTGCTCTCCCCTCTGACAGCTGTCATTTCAGGTGACTCGACGCAACCCTCCTCCACCCTTTTTCACCTCCTGTCCCTCTGAATCCAGTGTCAAGCTAAGCCCCTCCCCTTCAGACCCGAACCCAACTATCCATTCACCACCACCAGGGTCAAGCTAAGCCCCTCCCCTTCAGACCGAACCCAACTATCCATTCACCACCACCAGGGTCAAGCTAAGCCCCTCCCCTTCAGACCGAACCCAACTATCCATTCACCACCACCAGGGTCAAGCTCCTCCCCTTCAGACCAAACCCAACTATCCATTCACCACCACCAGGGTCAAGCTAAGCCCCTCCCCTTCAGACCGAACCCAACTATCCATTCACCACCACCAGGGTCAAGCTAAGCCCCTCCCCTTCAGACCGAACCCAACTATCCATTCACCACCACCAGGGTCAAGCTAAGCCCCTCCCCTTCAGACCGAACCCAACTATCCATTCACCACCACCAGGGTCAAGCTAAGCCCCTCCCCTTCAGACCAAACCCAACTATCCATTCACCACCACCAGGGTCAAGCTAAGCCCCTCCCCTTCAGACCGAACCCAACTATCCATTCACCACCACCAGGGTCAAGCTAAGCCCTCCCCTTCAGACCGACCCCAACCATCCATTCACCACCACCAGGGTCAAGCTAAGCCCCTCCCCTTCAGACCGACCCCAACTATCCATTCACCACCACCAGGGTCAAGCTCCTCCCCTTCAGACCGAACCCAACCATCCATTCACCACCACCAGGGTCAAGCTAAGCCCCTCCCCTTTAGACCGACCCCAACCATCCATTCACCACCACCAGGGTCCAAGCTAAGCCCCTCCCCTTCAGACCGACCCCCAACCATCCGTTTACCACCAACCAGGGTCTAGACCCCGTGGGGTTTCATCGGATCGGTTTCTCCCCTCCTGAATGATACTCCTGCACAACGGGGCCTAATCGCCAAAAAACTCAATTACAGTCATTTGTGTATTCCTGCCAATAAATATGTATTCTTTCATCAAAACCGTCTCTGCTGATTGAAAATTGGGTTAGAGCTAAACATCCGATCTGAACAAGGACCCAAAACAAAAGGCCTCTTTGAGATGTAGTTTATAATACTAGTATAGAATATGAAAACAATTCAAAGTACAGTATGTCGGAAAATATATGAAAAACGCATGTAAAAAAAGAACTTGTGAAGCTATAGTATATTATTACATGGTTTAGTTAAATACTCGATTCTGATTGGTCAATTCAGAACACGTGACACATTGTTAATCCAGTACAGACAGACCGCTGTCAAGGATTGATTGACCGTTGTTAAGGAAGTCCGGTCGATGTAACTGTAGTTTGGAACTGGGACAAGAAAACAGCGGAGAAGTAACGGGGCAGAAACCCTCCTTTTTACGCAGCGGTCATCAAACGGCGACACATATTCAGTGTGCAGTTCCTTTGGCATTAGGGCAGGGATATCTAGATACTTTCCAAGGTTTGACTTAATGAATTCTGCTACTTTTAAAGCAAGGAACAATGTTTTCAAATCTGTAATCACAAAGGTCAGCAAAAACGCTATCGAAGCAGTTCCTGCCGTTGCTACGTAGTTCAAACGGTAACAACAAACTCATTTTCTTAGCGGATGCATGTCATTTTAAATCAATAACATTTTTTAATCAATAAAAGCATTTCAATGAATTGATCAGCCTGAAGGGTGTTCATTTCCCCATAATGACCAAGTCGCTGCACATTAGCCCTTTACGTACGTCAGACAATATTTTTGTTTAAAGTATGTAGTGGAAAACAATTTCATAATAAAGTATATAATACAAATCATCCAAAATCAAGTGTTTCAAAAAAAGGTGAAAAAAAATCATAGAAAAAGAAGTGTATAATTAAAACAAAATATATAATAGTCACAGTACAGCATGTCAGAAAATATAATAAATAAAAAGGCGGCATAAGATAAGTCTGATATTTGAATGAAGAATACTCCACCAGGCACCAACACAACAAACACGTCCGAGTTCAAGTTGTGTTCCCCGGATCAGCCTCGCAGCCGAGCCCCTGTAGCATCCTGGAGCTAACGGAGCTAGCAGAGGGACAGAAAGCTAGAAGCAGCAGTCACCGCAGAGACCTGTCCATCAAAGTGACCACACCCTAATGTATGCAAACACGTTAAGACCTAATATAACTAAAAGGGGTGCGTTGTAAAAAAACTCACTCCCCAATCCATAGTCATGAAGGTGGAATCTAACCAGTGTTGGGCTAGTTACTTTTAAAAAGTAACTAGTAATAGTTATAGTTACTGCTCTCAAAAAAGTAACTAGTTACTTTATTAGTTACTAAATTATAAAAGTAACAAGTTACTTTACTTTAAAAATAATAACAATACATTTGAAAATGAAATGCTTTCACTGATATTTTGCTGACTAGTCCAGTGCCGGTGGTTGAGACGGTGGGGTCTTTGGCGACTAGTTTTATAGCATTTTATAGTATGTACATTACTTAGGTGCTTCAGGAGATTGGCATCGCTGCTATTCGATGTGGACAATGCTTTCTGTCCTGCAGTTTACATTTTACCGTAATATTTTTTGCGTCCGTTATCCCCACAAATTGAAAATAGTGGTTATATTTCCAAGTTGCAAATGCGCTGCTGCTGTCGCTCATACGCCAATTATTTCACACAGTGACGTCACGAGCTACCCACAATGCAACACGCGCCATATATATATATATAAATACGCCATTTTCATGGAGGTGCAAATATCCTGGAGGTGCTAATCTAAACAGCTAGCTAACTAGCCAGGCAGAGCGCACTAGGTTTTTTTTCTGAATTAACGACCGAAGAAATCGCTGCATGTCTTCGGATTACATCTCTGGATTTGAGGGGTGTGCTCTAGGTCGTTACCAGCGTAAACTAGAGCTGTGTGGGTTGTCCGATTGCCCTTACAGACTGCGTCGATTTTGGCTGCATCTACGTCTATCTTCTAGAAACACCAGGTGACTTGTCACAATAATATTATCATGCCATTGCATATATGTGGTATTTTAGAGTTGACTAGATATTGATTAAGACAATAGACTATGATATTCAGTACAGGAAGCTTAGCAACACCTAGACGGTGTACGGCTGCTTGCACCTCGCGTAAAACGGCGGATACCGGAAGTACGGTGTCGCCCTCGGCCCAATACCCGTATGTGTGTGTGAAAGAATGGTCAGAAGCTGCAGCCTCGCAGACCGCAGTTTCTGAGCCCTTCTTCTCTTTTTTAATGGCGGACCGCAGCTTTTAGTTGCATCTGCCATTGTGTGTGTGTGTGTGTGTGTGTGTGTGTGTGTGTGTGTGTTAGCATTAGCAAGTGTTCGTGGCCCCGGTAATGGTACAAATCTCAACCTGTCGTTCAATGGACAGCTTCCCCCCCCCCCATCTATGTATATACTCGCATTTTAGACTCTGTTACTAACTGTATATCTGTAGACTTGGTATGTCTTAAATGTCCGGTTAGGATGTATTAGAACGAAATCTAAAATGAAAATTGTAAATAAGCAATCTGTATGTAAAAAACCACCTGTATGTAAATTGTAAATAAGCTATCTGTATGTCAAATATGTCTTAAATGATATGATGAATTGGAAATGGGGGACCCTGATGTAAACAAGACGAAAGTCTTTCTCTGGTCTGCATCCCCTTAACAATTGTATGTTTTGAGCTGTACTGTACTGTACCCAATATACAAGCTGTTAATAAACTTTTCAATCAATCAATTAATTCGTGTGTGTGTATTTTCCCCATAAGGCAAGACCCGCCCAACTCTGTCTCTGATTGGCTTACCCTGAAATGTTACCCCGCGTTAACCAATCATCACTCCTCTCTGGTTACTTTTCCATGGTGCTGTGAGAGAACATCGCTGTGTTCGCCTGTAAGCTACATCCGCAGCGAGATTCGGTTCAGTTCCATCACATAATGTAACGCAGTAACGCACCCATTTAAATCACAGTCACTACAACGGCGTTACTGAATGGGAATAGCTAACTAGTAACGCTATTAGTTACCGCAAAAAGTAGTTGCGTTAGTCCCAACACTGAATCTAACTATATCCAGAATAATTGTATTGCATCCAGGGGTAGAAACATGTTTACTTCTGCTGTAGAGTCGGGCATTTAACATGGGGTCTATGGAAATGGCTCCTTTCTGCCGCCAGCCCCTATCGGCCAATAGATGAACTGCAGCGTTTGCCGCTTGATTTTTAATCACAAATCTGTTCTAACCTCAGTTCAGCATTTTGAAAAATACAGCCCATAATATTCTGCAGAAGCACGACACAGCAACAGTCGGTTAGTTCATTTTACCTTTAATAATAAAAAGGAAACTAAAATAAAAATCTCAAAATAAAAAATACATGGCAAAACAAATAGACTCTTAAATGATCATGAGGGTAACCATGGTCGCAGTGATGATACAGTAATAATGATAATAATCAGAAGCTTAATAAGAATCATATTTCCCTGGCATTTCTCCACCAGCTGAATCCTGTTTATAGACTTTATGGTTAGCATGGCGAGGGGGGGTGGGGGGGGGGGGGGGGGGGTGCTGTGGCACTTCAAATATTCACACGTAAGCAAAAAAAGTAACCCCACATTTTGCACGACGTAAAATAAGGACAGAATCACAGCTCGTACGATTCACAGCACTGCGTCGAAATCAGAACATAAAATAAAAACATGCTCCGTGTTTCTTCTTCTGGTCGAGGCGGAGGAAAAAAGGGGGCGTGGCCATTTTGGCAAAAAGACAAAATGGCGTCAAGATTTGTTTTTTGGAAAATGAAAAGCGTTTAAAAAATACAATAAGATTAACATTCTTTTTCTTAGCGAAATCTGCAGCTCGGTGGGTTTTCGTCTGTCCGGTGAAAGTGCGGTGCTCGTCTGAAATGTCGATCTGTGTTTGGTTTGGGGTTTGGTTTTTTTTTATCGGGAAAATAGAGACGGAGAATTAAAACCCGAAGTCCTTCACATCATGTCTGATCAAATATGAGAAAAACGTGGAGGGAAACACTGCTGCTGACTCATCTTAATCTCTCTGACTGGTTTTATGGCACTTATTCAACTCTTTTTGTCCCACATGGCAGAAGGTGTTATTATACTGAACAAAGTAATAGTCTTAATATTTAATCCTCATTCATTTACAACGAAAAAAGGCCAACTATTAAGAATATTGTGTGTCTCTGTGTGTCTGTGTCTGTCTGTCTGAGTGTGTGTGTCTCTGTCTGTCTGTGTGTGTGTGTCTGTGTGTGTCTATGTGTCTGTCTGAGTGTGTGTGTCTCTCTGTGTGTGTGTCTGTCTGTTTGTGTGTGTGTCTGTGTCTCTGTGTGTGTGTCTAGTGTCTGTCTGAGTGTGTCTCTGAGTGTGTGTGTCTCTGTGTGTGTGTGTCTATGTGTCTGTCTGAGTGTGTCGCAGTGTCGCAGTGTCTCTGTCTCGCTGTGTGCGTGTGTGTGTCGCTGTGTCTGTGTGTGTGTCTCTGAGTGTGTGTGTGTGTCGCTGTGTCTGTGTGTGTGTCTCTGAGTGCGTGTGTGTGTCGCTGTGTCTGTGTGTGTGTGTCGCTGTGTCTGTGTGTGTGTCGCTGTGTCTCTGAGTGTGTGTCTCTGAGTGTGTGTCTGTCTGTGTGTCGCTGTGTGTGTGTGTCGCTGTGTCTGTGTGTGTGTCTCTGTGTGTGTGTCTGTGTGGAAAAAAGGCCAAATATTAAGAATACAATTGTAATTTTTATAGGATTTTGTCGTCGTTTACGGGACAAGTCTTTATTTACGTCACATTTCTGACAATAAAACAGCTAGAAATGGAGCTTGAAATCAAATGTTTTTTTTCAACATTTTCTAAAGTCCTAATTTAACCACTTAAGCTATAACGTTGCAATGCAATTCACCCAATCATTTTGTTGTAATGTCACTCATAAGAGACGGATCTCTCGGGGCAAAATGTAACCAAATTATCACAAAGTCATTTTAAATCTACAGTATGTGTCCAAGAAAATCCTGTCAATATATTTCTTTAAACAGTTTCCACTTCTTTATTTAACGTTTTAATCGGAGTAATTAGATTTATATAACAGTGTTACTCGATGGAAAGGTGATGAACAATAGTATTTATTTATAATTACATATATGTGATAGTTGGCATCTTGTCGGACTTGCAGGAGCGTCCTGCAAATGGCAAGTGGCATTGAGAGGAAACGTGTTGGCAACAGAGGCGGAAGGCACGGCGCGTAAATAAACCCTAAACATATTTCTAATCAAAGTGCATTCGGGTCAATTAGAGAGAGAGGACTCCTACATTATAACAGCAGTGTTTCCCTTTAAGCAGCCGGGACAGGTCGGTCGGATTAGGTCAATACAACGGTAGAAAAGTACGGAGGAAAAAAGCTGCCAAATAAATATCTAATGATTTGATAAATATATTAAAATACCATTAAATAAAACAAAAATAATGCATTAATTATCAAGTCGAAAATGTTTATTCCTGTTTTTAATTTAATTATTTTTATTCACTTTTACATTGAATTTATTTCCCTTTTTAAGTATTTAATTTTGTCTGTATTATTATCCCCTTTGCAATTTCCCCCAAGGGAGGAGGAAGAGGAGGGAGAGGAAGAGGAGGGAGGGGGAGGAAGAAGAGGGAGAGGAAGAAGAGGGAGAGGAAGAAGATGGATTTTTATCCCCTTACAGAATAAATGGACATCAACACATAAATAAACGTTAATATGAATGCATGTAAAAGTAAACAAATGAGTAATAAATTATGACGACATTTAAATAAAAATGTTCTCTCTTAATTAATGCCTGGATTTTTCAATGTTATTTTTATAAATGTTTTTAAGAATATTACATTTATCAAATCTTTAATTTACTTTGTATTTTGGCAGCTTCGGTCCTCCGCAGCCAGATCGGTAATTCTCAGTTTTTTGGCGCTTCATGACTAAAAAAACTGAGATTAGAGCGACTCACTTTTCCATTTCTTCTTCAGGCGTAATAACACTGAGTTGATTTAATTAAACTAGATCAGTGTGCACCTGCTGAAGGTAAAAAAACAACTCATAATTTTGTTTTACCGAAAAATTAACAACGATTCCAGCGTCAGAGTCCTCTTTAACCCTTCAAAATAAAAGTCTATATTTTCTTTTTTTAAATGAAGCAAATTGTTGAGAAAAGGGTCCCTCACTTTTATGAACGGGAATTATTTGAACTAAATCTTTCACAATGAACATTTATTTTATAAAGATTGATATTTTTTCTGGTTTTATTTTGAAAATATTTAAAATTTCGTGTAAAAAACAACTTTATTTTGTAATTTTTTAACAATCGTGTATTTTTTATACATTTTTCCATTACACATTTTTCTGAGTTAATCCTTGATTTCTTTTGTCTATCCTTCCATCACGGTGAAGGTAATAATGTTCATATTTTATTTTAATTCAACAAAAGTACAATTTCCTCCTGTTTTGTAAACGTTTGCTGGAAATAACATTTCTGAAATATTTTTTGAAATAACTGGAACTTTTGTATTTATTTTTCATGTGATTTTGAGTTAATTAACATTTATTTTGAAATTCAGAATAAAGTCCAAAAAATTAACTAACTTAAAATGTGTTAAAATGTTAAATTTGTTGTTAATATACAATTGCATTTTCCTTAACACCAATTTGTCATGAACTCCTGAACTTAAAGTGAACCTGAAATCCAAAATAACAATGGATTTTCAAAATAAAACCAGGAAACTCTGTCGACGCTGGAATGGTTCTTTCAAAATAAAATAAAAAGAAACGGTTGACAGAACAAACATTTTGTACAAAATGGACGACAGGGTGATGAGAGTAGATGCTGGTGAAATCTGACCTGTCCGTGTGTGTGTGTGTGTGTGTTCCCCTCGCAGTGTTATCTTGAAGACAAAGCGGCGATCACCACTGAACACAGATCAAATGCTCGTAGAAGATTTTTTTTTTTCTTTCTATGTTTCAAATATATATTCTGTTTGTACAAGACGG